TTTCTACAATTTGATAAATCAATAACATTACCATCAGTTTCTCCAAAATTTTGGGGTTTCCCTTCTAACACCTAGTCAACAATTTCCTATAATCCTAATCAGATATTACAATATAAATAAATAAATAAATAAATAACGCCCTAAAACCCTAATCAAACATCAGCCTTAAAATCACCGAAAAAGCCCTAAAATCCAACTCCAAAGAATAATACCTCAAATTATCATCGAGCAAGAACAAAGTACATAGAAATCAATAGTTTCAACTTTAAATAACACAGGAAGAAGTACAATACTTGCAATAAAAGTTTGATTAGTGAACTCACCTCAGTAACTACTGTTCTTCGTATATTCTCTCATTGAAAAGATAAAATTAATCTGTAAATATAATGAGAAATCGTTTGACAAACGACTGCTAGGGTTTTATCAAAATTTAAGAGAACTAAAAAAGATGGATTTTTTGCTTACCAAAGGAATTGAAATTTTCGCAATTTATGGTTAAGGCGAGAGAGGGTCGAGCATTGGACTAAATTTTAGAGCTTGCTTTAGGGTTTGCAAGTCGGGTACGGATCGTGATCATTGACCCGATAAGAATTAAAACAAGGATAATTTCCTTCAACGACTGCATCTTGGTAAAACCCTAACCTCTTCTTACCTCTCGAGCACCTCTAAACATATCGAACAACTCTCACCTATAGAAACCTCCTCCGAAAAATCACATGCATAGCTGTACACCTGAATTTCCTTCAACAACGACACCCTCCACAATTGTTCAATCTCTGGGTCTGACTCAATGTCGACATATTGCTCGTCGATAGTGTCATCAAGAATCGCCCGATGAAGTTTATAACTACATGCAACTTTGAGGAGCACCACAAATATCAAGGCGGAGATTTCGAATACTTGTAGATGGAGATGTGAAGGTTGTGGTGATGGTGGAGGGGGATGAACGGAGTTTATGTTGGTGTCACGCGTTTTGAAGACAATTTGGAGGAGGAAGGAGAGATTGTTGGCGAGCTTCTTTTGTAGATGATGAAGATGATTTGAGTTAGGTAGCTAATAATGCTTTGCATTCTAATTGTTTGTTAATTATACGTTACATGGATAAGATTAAACAAGTAATGATCTGTTTAGTTAAGATACATGGATATTGGAGGTGAAACTTGTGTGGATAGTGTATCATCAATCCAAGGAAAGCAAAATAAATAATCAACAAACTACATTCAATAACATGATGATGGCCATGCTTTGTTGTCTCTCTTCTTCTCAAATAGCTTTTAATCTATGAAAATAAGAACAGAATAATGATATAAGAAAAACCTTAATCTATTAAAAGTACGTTTGTTTCCACGAAAATAACTATAAAGTAGCTAAAAAGAAAAACAAAAACTAATCTTACTATTTCTGAACAAAAAAATTAATATGTTTATTAAAAACATATTACTTCCTCTATCTCTTTAATACACCAAATGCTCTTTCAATGGCATTGCAAAGTGACGCGTGTCTTAGGTTAAATAGCTGACGTTGAGTCCTTGGTGGATTTCTTGAATACTCATTCAAATGGTAGCATTCCCCTCCATATGGTGGAATTATTCCACTTCTTAACATGTATCAACCATCAGGGAGATAATATTTTCCTAAAAAAAGTTTCATAGTCATTATAACTTATTAAAAAAGGGTTTTTTATCATTAGTAGATTATTCAGGATTAATGATTATCTTGAGGGATTTTAAGTGGAAATCATCGTTGTAAAGCATTTTTTAAAATTCTGAAATCAGGTGTAGTACCTTCCACCAAGGTAAGACATAAGTGAATTTCAAGTCAAATGTGCAAGCAGCCAATACATTTTGTGACGGATGATCTTTCCTACCACGATATTTAGGAGCGTCAGTAGGAGAAATCTTTACTCAGATGTGTGTTGCATCTATTGCTCCAACACAATCATGACAATATAGGGAGTAATTAGTTAAATTCTACTTTTAACAACCTATACAAAGATAAGAATTGTGAAATTTATCATCGCCTTGAAATATGGATCAAACTTTGGATTATTGAGTATCTCTGGAGGAATTTGTGCTCCATTGGGTTGTATTAAAAATATCTCTTCCAACTCTATCATAGCCCTTAAAACATTATGAAAATGATAACTCACACTCTCTCCAGATCGTCCAAATATCTTACTAACCTCACGAGTAGTTACGTTGTGTCCCAACATATACAAAAAATTTGTAACTTGTTCCTCAATAGTAACTCTTTTTTAGTTCGTTTAAGCCCCATCGTCTCTCTCTAATATTCCACATAATTGATGAAAAGCCGGTGGATTCATTCGGATCATTTTCCTACATACAACCCTTTGTGATAATATTTTTCGCACCATATTAGTTACTTCTCTAGGCTCTTGGGGTTCACTATAATCTTCTTCTATTTTCTCTTTGTTGTATGAACCAATAAACAATCACACAAAGAACATATCCAAGTGCACAATGGCATGCATGTTGAAATTTGACCCATGCTTCATCCATTATCTATGTGAGGATATAAAAAAATAACACAATTAGGATAGAAAACTAAGAATCCTTAATTATACACAAACTAATGTTAAATTTGGAAGCTCTCGTTACAATACACAAAATTAGCTTATCATGTAATTGTTTTTTTTAAAACGCCCCGGAAAGTTCCACCAGCGAATGGTTTAGTGATTGTCCCGTCAACTAATCGTTGTAAATTCCTTTCCGACATCATAACCACTAATCCAATCGAGCAAATAAATAACATTCTCATAAAACATGCGCCAACTGAAAATACATAAAATGGTAATTACCAATACTCTCGACGAAGTTCATGTCATCCAAGTAATAAACAGATCCAATAATAAGCTGAAATGCAGTCTCTAACAAATTCTAATCTGGTTCCAACAATAAATTGGCGCAATTTACTCTTTATAATACGATTATTGCTTAAATTCCATGAAATAACGCTGTAAAAAAATCGCAGAAATTATCGCTCTAATTCCGAGCGTTAGATGCAATGTTTCCCCGCCACCTCATTAAGATCATATTGGCATACTCTTGCCCCTCCCCCCAACCCCCCCCCCCCCCCCAAAAAAAAGAGCAGACACCATAATTCGGAATCTGCCTTAAAAAAACGATGAAGCAAAATTGTGTGTACTCAAAAGAGAAATAGAGATAAAGCTCAAACCTGAAGAATGCAATTGAGTACAATAAAAAAAATCGACCAGCGGATTGAAAAGAAAACAAAAACCTGGCGCGACCGGCGACTCGGTCTACGAGGCTGAAGCGAAGACGCCGGAGTTGGGAAAGGCGCAGAGGGGGGACTGGATGATGGGGGGGGAGCGGGGACTGGATGATGGTGGGGGGGGGCTGACCGCGCGGGGGAGAGAGCGCGCGCGGGGGGGAGAGAGAGCGCAGCGAGTGGGAAGATCGCAGAGAGAGGGAGAGGCGGCTTGGCAAAAAATGAAAGAAACAGAGAGAAAAAATGTATGTACGGGATAGGGTTTCTGATTAGATCAGGGCCGGTGATTTATTTTGATGGAGGGCAAAAATAGGAGAAGAAATGTATGTATGGGAAACAATGACGATATTTTAGTCTAGATAGAGAGAGATTATTGAGTTGATGATCAATTTCATAAGAAAAAACTTTATTTTTTTTTATTAAAATAAAAGTAGAATAAAATATTATACATATGATGATGACAAATGGGTAACAAGTTGCGCCACTAATCCTTTCTAAATTGTAAAACCCAACCTACGAAACAAGTACTTAGCAGACCCTGCTGTCGCCACATTTAGCAGGACCCAACACGTACTTTATTTTATTGTTTTTTTATTTTATTTTTTTAATTTAAATAATCATGATATTTAAACACGTGCAATGCACCTGCATCTCAACTGGTCTTTTCAAAAGTGGAGGTGACACCTAGATGCAATTAAAGATATATAGAGAAAGTAATATATTTTAATAAACAAATTAATTTTTCTGTTCAGAAATAGTAAGATAAGTTTTTTTTTTCCTTTTCAGCTACTTTATAGCTGTTTTCGTGGAAACAAACCTACTATTAATGGATTAAGGTTTTTCTTGTATCATTATTCTGTTCTTATTTTCATAGATTAATAAAAGCTATTTGAGAAGAAGGGAGACACAACAGAGCGTGGTCATCATGTTATTGAATGTAGTTTGTTGATTATTTATTTTGCCTTTCCTTGGATTGATGATACACTATCCACACAAGTTTCACCTCCAATATCAGTCATGTATCTTAACTAAACAGATCATTACTTGTTTAATCCTATCCATGTAACGTATAAGTAACAAACAATTGAATGCAAAGCATTGTTAGCTACCTAACTCAAATCACCTTCATCGCCTACAAAAGAAGCGCGCCAACAATATCTCCTTCCTCCTCCTCCAGATTGTCCTCAAAATGCGTGACATCAACATAAACTCGGTTCATCCGCCTCCGCCGTCACCACAACCTTCACATCTCCATCTACAAGTATTCGAAATCTCCGCGTTGATGTTTGTGGTGCTCCTCAAAGTTGCATGTAGTTGTTATAAACTCCATCGGGCGATTCTTGATGGCACTATCGACGAGGAATATGTCGACATTGAGCCAGACCCAGAGATCGAACAATTGTGGAGGGTGTCGTTGTTGAAGGAAATTCTGGTGTACAGCTATGCGTGTGATCATTCGGAGGAGGTTTCTATAGGTGAGAGTTGTTCGATATGTTTAGAGGTGCTCGAGAGGGAAGAAGAGGTTAGGGTTTTACCAAGATGCGGTCATTTGTACCATAGGGTTTGTATTGATAAGTGGTTGGTAAAAAGGTCTGTCCTGTGCCCAGTATGTAGGGCCCAAGTTATTGGCTAAAGATCTTTGATATTATACCAGAGCAAGTAACTCATGTTCGATTGTCATTTGCCCTGAATTTAAAGCAGGTCATAAAAAA